CAGCGTCCAGAGCATTTTTGGCTTGATTTTCCCAGCAGGTGCAACACCGCCATTGACTCAGGGCCTCAGCCTACTGGACTGCACCAGCCAGAGAGGAGTTCCTGACTGACTGACTGACTGATGTCTGTCTGTGTCTGTCTGGCCCTCCAGGTCTGCAATAATGAGGCATGGAAGAACCATAATACATCTCCACTATTACCCACTGATCAGACATTAAAATATTAAATAAGATCGACGGGGCTCTTTAAGATTCACCATCTCGTTCACATCCCCATACTCTGATCAATCAGTCTGTCAATCAATCAGTCCTCTCCTCCAATTGATCCATCCTTCCATCCTGTTTGCTGAATATCTTTCATAAAACATCCTTCATACCTCCACCTCTATCCTCCCTCTTCTCTTTTCCTTGGTCCCGTCTATCCTGCCTACTTCTACTCTTGATCGCTGATTTCCAGTGGTACTCTTCTACCGCTCCATCTCCTTCTGGTACCCGTCTTCAAACGGCAGTGAATAATACTGTCTGATACAGCGTCCCATCTTCTCTCGGGGTCTCTGTTGCTGTGGGGCATCAATTCACCGGAGCCTCAAATGCTCAACTTGCCTCTGAAGTATCCTCTACTTAATCATATACTTCTTGTCATTCCATTCGCCTTCTCGGGTGTCCCTCTCTCCCGCTCGCCAGATTGTTTCCCCCGCTTGTCTAAGTCAAGGGGTGTCGTTTCTACAATCGGACTGTCTCAGCCTTCGCACAAGAGTCAGAAAGGGGAAATTTCAAGATCTCCTTTCGAGCATCTGATCTGCTGAGGGACTTCTACAATCACTCCAACTGCATCCTAAAGACGCATATTTCCACTGTCGCGCGACCTTTCCTCCAAACATCTCTGTACCATCCTCACCTCTGATCTGCTGTCACAATGGCTGCAGCAGCTGCAACTGCGAGATTCATCCAACCTCCTTCTCCCCCTCAGTCGGCCGACGGAGATCCCGCTTCTGAACAGTGTGGCATGCTCAACTCACTATATTCCTCCCAGAGCCCCTTTGTCACGTCCAGCTTGCCCTGCAGCGCTGAAGCTGCCTACAGTGAGCTTAAGCCCCAAGCGATGGTGAGTTGGAAGCCTTTTCCAGCTTGTTCGTTACCTACTGACTATTGATCAGACCTACCCTTCGTCATCACCGAGATATGTCTCCCACGAGTATTCAACACCGCTACCACTACAGCATACGGTAGGGTTCCCACCCCCGTTCTCAATGACACATTTGCTAACCAAGCATATGCTAATGGACTGCAGATGCTACCCTCAGGTATTCAGATCAATACGCCGCCTCCTGCCGCGGACGAGGGAGTTGTTCCTAGCAGATTAGAAGCGACTCCTCGCTGGCCATCTTCATCAGCCTTGAAGCTCTCCCCTGGGAAAGTAAGAGTGGCTAAACCTCCCAGAATTAGGCGCCGAGCCAAGAAGGCGAACAATCGGGAATCGAAACCCAAGCTACCTGGTCCTTTAAGTGAAGTTACTAAGCATTTGACACATGTTCCCCTCAGAGACATGGGCATCTGGGTGCATCGTCCCAAGGAGGTGCGTCACGCGGAGGTTGCCAAAAAGAATGGCAAAGTTGCCAGACCTATGAACTCATTCATGCTCTACCGGTCTGCATACGCCGAGCGGACCAAGGAGTGGTTTGCGCAGAATAACCACCAGGTCGTTTCAGAGGTCGCAGGCGACAGCTGGCGCATCGAAACGCCAGAGATTCGCGAGAAGTACGAGCTTCTAGCGAACGTTGAAAAAGTCAATCATCTCAAAGCACACCCAGGGTACAAGTTCTCTCCGTCGAAGGAAAAGAAAAAACGATCTGAAACGGATGACGACCAGCTGACCGTTGATGGTGGCGAGATGACATCTGGATCTAGCCCAGCGTTCCTCCAGGTTCGTGCCATGGGCTCGTCCGAGGTGGACAGCAATGGCTGGGGCAGCCGCGACTCAACACCGTTCGACTTTCCCGAACATGGGCTGCCCACGACGACATATTACAGTTCTTCGTGGCAGACAAGTCATCCCAGCATGTCAACTCCCAAACCCTCGCCATACCTCCAGCAGCCAATGCATCAGAACATCATGGGTCCTCCTACTGAAGATCCTCGATTCAAGCATGTTGGACTCCAGGACATCCAGTTCACCCCGTCGACGGCGCTGGCCGGGCTGCCTGGAGCCGCCCACCACGACCTTCTTCAGCCCCAGAACAACCCTGGAACTGGACCCGAAGGGCAGCTTGACCCTCAGTTGCTCTCATTAAGCGACAACTCTAATCAGCATCCTATGTACAACCACTCACACTACGCAATCTGGCAAGAAGTCCCGACGAGCAACTGCTATGTCCCTGTTCCCTCTCCGCTGCAATCCACATACCATGTCGGCGCCACCTATCATCAAGGCATGCAGACTCTAGGAGATGGCCGCGATACTTGGGATTCTGCCAACAACGAGACCAGTTTTGATGCTTCCAATGGCGAGTTCGAACACTGGATCAACTCTCATGCATCCGGATATCCCTAATGGATGATGTGACATTAATCAAGGCAGCTTCCTTGTGTCCCTGTCTTGTTGCGACGAGGAGATGAGCCTCATGTCATGCTTACTGATGTGTGTTTTCTGATTTCTTTCTGTCATTGGGCCGGCCTTTTGGGATTTAGAAGAAAACCTCAGGGTCGGAGTTGTACAGGCGCGAAGTGTAGTATTGTGGGACTGGGTGATACCCTGCTTTCTTCAGGTCTCCTGGTACTCCTGTCTCTTTGGTGGTCTGTGTGATATCTCTTTTTGTCTATTGGAGTTGTTCTCTTTCTGGGTGGTAATTTCCTTCGGTATTCCATGCAAATATCCCTGCTGTTTATGTTGTTGGTATCTTGACTTTGACACCATATTAGACTGAATGACGCAAGTCGTTATTTCCTGGCTTTACTCTCCGTTGTAACATCTTCTTCGCACTGCACTGCTACAATTTTGTCCATGGATGAGCGATCTTCCGGTAACCAGTATCTTCTCCGTTGATTGTAACTACATCATAGGTCAAAAGTCTGCGGACACTCCAAGATATCGAAAAAATCGGCCATGTTCAGTCCCATACTTCTCAACCACCATCTGACCCCAATATTAAATAATAAGCTATAGAATAGTAGATATTAATATTTAGTGTACCAGCCCCTTGCCTGGTATACTGCACGCAATCTACGCGGCATTGAGTGAATAAGACAGTCAATCACCTCCTGCGGGGTAGCATCCCAGGCCTCTATAATAGCAGATCTAAATTGCCTCTAATCGACCTTAAATCTGCGTCTAGAAAGAGCTCTGGATAGAGTTCCAAAAGCTTCTTCTTTAAGAGGTTCCAGAGGTGTTCAATTGGATTCAAGTCAGGCGAATGGGAAGGCCATTCCATCACCCAGATTCCCTGATATTAAAACCACTCCTGCGCCTAGTAAGAAGTATAGATCATGGCATTAGCTCACTAGAATATTATGCCCGGCCTATAGATTGGAAGGAGGCCACCTTCAAGGCATTTTAGGTAAGAATTAGTGGAATATCCGCCTCAAGGAGCTAATTCATTATATTCTATAATCACTAGATTTGTACACCCTAGATCATCTGGGATATATCCATCCTATGGTTCTTCAAGTTAACTAGATCATGCCGGTATGCTTTATTTAAGAGCCAGAAAATGAATTAGGTAGAATTATTTAGCTTTTTTTAGACAGAATATTTATCAGAAAAACAGTACTTTCTCCTAGTGAGAGAAATCAAGCTATATATACATAAATTTATACCATTCTTTAACTGTTTCGCGATTTACAGGGATCCTTTTCTTACTCTTCCACTGCTTAAGATGTTATCTCCTCAAAACCTATTGAAGAGTTGACTTGGGCCTTCTAGCTTATTAAGGGACTCCAGTACATGTAATGCTTAGTAGAGGGATTAAGCTTCTGGGTCTACCCATTCGTGGCCTTCATTCTAAGGTATTGTGGTGTTGGAAGCGTTCCGTAGTTAAGTAAAAAGAGCTGTGACTAACGCTAAATTCCTTTCCTAGTTGAGTAGGCGATCTTTGACTATCTAGGCCAGATAAAATAGCTGCACGTGCTTCAGATGATGCCTCTGCTTTTAGCCTCCTATTCCACTAATTTCAGTGCTAAATAACCTCATTTTGATGGAATAGATGGTGGTTGAAGAAAGTGTTGATTTTTTGACGCGTCATGGAAACGCGGAATGTCCGGATACTTCTGAACCCTGATGTACAGAGCTATTAGGTAGTTTGTGACCAATTTCATGGATTGAACCCATAGTGCTCTCAAGGGTCAATCGGCAAGAAGCATCTTCTCTACTCAGATCCACCGAGCCACCTGTTACGCAGCCAAATCTGCACTATGCAAGTCTACATCACTAACACATTCAGTATGTAGTCCTTGCAACACTGAACATGCACAAATTGTCAACGAGGTTGTTTGAACGCGGTATCAACCAGGTGAACGATGCGGTTGATTCATTACGTCGGATATTCCTTCTGTTGAGACTGTGAGTCAATGCATTCTGTCACTGATTCTCCTTCATTATGCTTTTCCTGAGCTTCCCTGCTTTGTCGTCTCTCGTCAATTGTGTGATAAGGCATGTATGTCCACAGATTACCCTTGTGACGAGCCAATCATTCTTGGTCTGTCTGCAGATCGCTGATCTATTTGATCGGAGATCTTCAATAGATGCGCCAAGTGTACTCCGTGAATCCTATGTGGATAGTCAATGGACTGTGCTGACAATTCAGTCAGACCAGTCACAGGACAGGAGTCACATACTGAGCTGGAAGAGCAGGACCTTACCACATAATGATACTTAACTTTTCCTGGACATAAATAGTCCACCCTCGCTGGACTTCAATGAAGTTCCCGGATCATTCTAAGCTGTATAAACTCAAAGACTCAAGTTCCTCAACCCTCTTCGAGACCAGTATCCGAGTCAATCGCCGATATGAAGCTCGCAATCCTCGCAGCCCTATCTACTCTCGCTTGCGCAGCTTCCCAAAGCTATTTCGTTGGCGTAAGCGTCTCTTCCCTTGCCACAGCACCTTATGATGACTGACAAGGTAGTATGACTCCTTGAGCCCCGGCCCCGTTGACCCCAACCCCTTCAAGGGCCTCTCATACGGCGATCAGTTCACAGTCGCCCGTCGCGCCAAAGTAGCCCCAACCCTCTACAGACCCAAGAAGAACCCCAACGTTCTGGCCCTCGCTCCACAGCCGCCTGGGAAATTCCTCGGCTCCGTCCGCAAAGCGCCCACGGCGGATACCTTCGCGGCCAAGAAGATCTCCTTTGCCTGCGTGACGGACCAGAAAGGCAAGACGGTGCCTGTTGACTGTACTGTCTTGTTCGAGGGCATGCAGAACAACGATCTGGGCATTCCGAAGGTCCAGACGGCGAAATACGCTAGCACGCCCCGGTTGCAGAGGGTGGATTTTGAGGGGTTCACGGACTTAAGGACGTTGGACTTTACTGTCTCCAAGGCTGGGGAGGATGACAAGTTGAGTCAGGATGTTACGTTGATTTTGGATAATTTTGCGTATGTTGTCAACTCGAAGTAGTGTTGTGGATATTCAACCTTCCAACGTTTGGGACGAATTAAGAGCGAATATTTCCAGGCATGTATCCTTGCTATGACAGCTTGAGAATCACATTTTGGCCTTGTAACACATAATAAGACTCGACTTAGGGTGTGTTTTGGTTCTTCAGATTCAGCCTGATACCAATAATGGCATCCAATATTCATCCTTAACGGGAGAATAATACAGTGAGAGAGGAGTTATAGATTGTAAGTACCTACTCCGTAGGTTCCTATAAACACCGCCTTCGCGAGGCTTGGCAGGAGGAATTGAATCAGCCCGGCAGAATAAACTTATCGGGCGATCATTGGCACACGCGTCCAGCGCGATTCATCAGACGCATCAATATACAGCAGCAATTGCACGTAAAACCCTGACATTTCTTCCATCCAACATCAACCATTCTTGTCAACACACAATCATGTACGGCGAGCTCGGAAACAAACTGGTCCGCCGCGTCCTACAACCCCAGTTCCATCCCGCGCTATTGCTAACAGCACCCTCAGGTCCAACACGCGAAACGCACTCAGTCCCTCGTCCACCTCCCCCCTTACCAAACCGAGCTCGTACGCACCGTCGCCCGCGAAGTCCGCGATCTCGACCGCGACGTCGCCCGCCTCCTCGAACCCTTCGGCGGCAGCTTCAACCCCTCCGCTGACCCGGCGACCGCCTGCGCCCTACTAGTCGACCACATCTGCACGCGCCGCAACAAGCGCTGTCTCCTTGCGTATCACCGTGTGCGCACGGAGAAGCTCGAGGAGCTCTGCTGGAAGGGGGTTGATGTGCTGGAGCAGGAGCAGCCGAATGCCGAGGAAGGGGGGGCGGCGCATGGAGTGGTGAGTTCGCAGGCGGGGAACCATAGCTCATTGAGTCCCGAGGAGGAGGAGTATTTCCGGCAGTATAGTGATATGCTGGCGGCGTATAAGGGGCAGTGGACGGATATTGATCTGACGGGGAGCTTGGAGCCGCCGAGGGATCTGTTTATTGATGTGAGGGTTTTGAAGGATGCCGGGGAGATCCAGACAGAGTATGGGTATGTTGCTTTTGCTCTTTGCTTTTGTTTAAGAGATTTCCCTAGAGGAGTTACATGCATTGAGAGCAGTGCTGATGTGTGCTTACAGGGTTATCAATTTGACGAAGAACAGTCAACTCTACGTTCGACAGGGCGATGTGGAACGGCTGATCGCACAAGGGTTCCTGGAGCGACTGACTTGATAAGAATAGATGATGATGAACGGCTAGCGATTTGACGACTTGAGATACCCATTGTATATACGGTGCATTGAACTTCTTTCTAAGGATTGTTGTATAGTTTGTAGAGGTCTTCCCATAAGCGGAGTACGGGGCTTTCAATATGATTCCATGATCTAAATAGTCAGGTGGTAAACCAATTTTAACCAGTTGACATTGAAAACAGTGGCCTCTGTCTTATGCAGTAGCTGATGGTAGCATCTTACTACGTAAACAGGTACTGCAATTGATCCGCTGGCATGTCCAAAGAAGCAAAGACAGACTAAGCTTGCATGCATATTCCGTCCTTGCGCATTGATCAGCCACAGCAATCATACTACATCAATCAATTTCAGACTGTTTCTGCCCAACTTTCAAGTTCCAACTCTTGCCTCCACAGCTTAAAAGACGATTACTCAATAAAAATAATGAGTTTATCCGTGCGGTAATCAATTCCAGGAACTACTCAAAGTTCCTGATCCACAATTGCCAGAATGCGGTAAAGCGCCCCCAGCGGAGACGATGATAACGGCCGGTGATAAAGACTTTTTTAGTCAACTCACGGACCAGGATTGATAACGCGCGCAGCTTCTGGTCTTGGAGCTTTGATATGAAATAACTCCTCCCAATGACACATGGTCACATTCGAGACCCCCGTCTGTAATCCTCAGCCCTCTCATGCATCGGGTATTTGCAGACCTTCTCCCCTCAGTTGCGTGGCGATCAGAAGACCATTGCTCCTTGTGCCTTGATTCTTGCGTCATTCGGGGTCCCGCCCATCTGCTCGTCTGCGGCCGTTGGGGTGCGGCACGCACACGGAGAAAGGAGCTTACGCTGTCTTGCCCTCAATTTATTCCGGCATTCATCGTTCCTCAAACGGGTTGTCTGTGTCGCAGACAGTAACGGTTCGGGTTCGCGATGGGCGTCATCGGACGTCGAGACCGCAGTGATTCTCGTGCGTCAGGATTTTTACCCCGTCGCTCATCTTTGGTCAACACTCCTGTTCCAAATGTGACAGAAATACCGATCGAACGGGCCAATCATGGCGGTACTCCGGACACTTCAGGACTCGAGCCTTCTATCCACGGCGGGTCGAGCTTCAGGACTCCGACTCGGTCATTCTACCATCGGTCATTCAAAGGTCCCCAGGGTACGGTAATAGAAAATTCCGTGAGGGGTTCAATGTTCTAACTGCTGTCTAGATCTGGCGCACTATTCATCGGAAGGTCTGAGAGAACAAACAGCTGAATTAGCATCGCTTGCGCTGTCGCTTCCTCACGAACGGAGCTCTCTTCCGCGAAGCTTGGATATCTTTCAATCGAAACAACAGACTGATGTCGCCGCACCGTCGTCAAGCTACGACAGCACTGCAGGGGACCTGACTATTGTTGAACCGGAACCCATCCACGCTCCTGCTACCGGCTCCTCGGCATTGACTCAGATGATTCGCAGTCCTCCCTCTGAATCGGTCGGGGACAACCCCGACCACTACGGAGGTAAGCTGCGCTCAAACGACGCGGCTGGTGTGCAAAACCCAAGGCTCTTGTATAATGATGGCGAAGAAGAGAACACAAGTACCGAACGGACGTCGTTGTTGAATAAAACGTCACAATCTAAACCATTCCATGGATATGGTGTTGCAGATGATATTGAAAGCCAGGACTTACTGAGAGAGCGCGAGCAGGGCGTACAGCCTCACGCTCTAGCGACGATCAGAAGCTGTCTTCGTCTGATAGCAAGCCCAAAGTCCTGGGATGGGAGAGCAGTATGGCAGCGGGGGGTGGTTTATCCCGCCAGCCTGCTACCCTCTGTGTTCCTCGGGCTACTGCTGAATGTCCTCGATGCGCTCTCCTACGGAATGATCCTGTTTCCGCTGGGAGAGCCTATCTTCTCTGAACTGGGGTCAGACGGAATCTCGATGTTTTATGTCAGCACAGTCATTGCTCAGCTGGTCTTTTCATGCGGAGGGTCAAGCTTCCGTGGTGGTATCGGGAGCGAGATGATCGAGGTTGTTCCATTTTTTCACAAGATGGCCATGACAATTCTAGTTCGGGTTGGCGAGGACAACCCGAAATCTGTCCTCGCCACAACCATCCTCGCATTCTCCGCCAGTTCGGTTCTTACGGGACTTGTGTTTTTCCTGATGGGAACGTGCAAGCTTGGCTCTCTCATCGGGTTCTTCCCGCGTCATATTTTGATTGGATGCATTGGTGGTGTAGGGTTCTTTCTGATGCAGACCGGCGTCGAGGTATCTGCTCGACTATCCGGGTCTCTCGAGCTTAACGCACCAACCCTGCAGAAGCTTTTTCATATGGATACATTGCTGCTTTGGATGATACCCTTGTTACTTGCGATTGCTTTTCTTGTTTTGAAGCGCTTTGTGCGGTCCAATTTCCTAGTCGGTGGTTATTTCATTGTGGTAGGTGTGGTCTTTTATATCGTCAAATTCGGCGCGAGAGTGTCTATGGATACCTTGCGTAGCAGGGGATGGGTCTTTGACGCTCCATCGTCTTCCAATCCTTGGTATCACTTTTATACGCTCTATGGTGGGTACTTTGAGGCTATTCCAATCAAGCATGAATTGACTTTGTGCAGATTTTTCGGCCGTCGACTGGTCCGCATTCGTTGATACGATTCCAGCGATGTTCGCATTGACGTTCTTCGGAGTACTTCACGTCCCCATCAATGTACCGGCACTGGGTATATCGACTGGGGAGGACAATCTTAGTGTTGATCATGAGCTTATCGCTCATGGCATTACTAATGCACTGTCAGGTTTCGCAGGAAGCATACAGGTATGGTTGAGCAATTCAAAGGACATTGTTCGTTTCATTTACTCATGCAGCTCTAGAACTACCTTGTATACACTAATAGTCTTCTTTTCATCGCCAGCGGTGGCAATTCTCGACTGGCAGGTATCATGCTTGCCTTTGCTACGATCGGTATTCTTGTTGTTGGTCCCGTGATTATTGGATTTATTCCCGTCATGGTCGTTGGGGCTCTCATCTTCATGCTGGGCATTGAGCTTATGGAAGAAGCTTTGGTCGACACGTGGGGGAAGTTGCACCGACTAGAATACTTGACAGTAAGTTCGTCCTATTTCGTCAATGAGCAGCCTTCTGATTCGTACAGGTCGTCATTATTGTCGTCACCATGGGTGCTTGGGACTTTGTGGTTGGAATCTTTGTCGGAATCATCTTGGCATGTGTGAGTTTTGTGGTGCAAACCTCACGCAAGCCAGCCATCAGGGCTACCTTTTCTGGCAAGATTACGGGCTCGACTGTCAGGAGACCTCCCATCCAGCAGCGATTCTTAAAAGAGGCCGGGCAGCAGACACTCATCATCAAGCTTACTGGGTATCTATTCTTCGGGACGATAGTCAGCGTAGAAAGTACCATGCGCGGACTCATTGAAGAGGAAACTTTCAACAGACGACCTATCCGGTTCCTCATCCTGGATTTCTCGCGAGTGTATGGCCTGGATTTTTCCGCGGCAGAGGCATTCACGCGTATAAACCGGATTCTCCGGAGACGCAATGTGCAGATGACTATATCTGGGCTTGATATGACGAGTGAGGTGGGGAAGAGTCTTCAGAACGTTGGGCTTCTCGCAAGCGAGACCGGCGTTGAGGTTTTCAAAGACCTCAATTCGGCCCTTGAATTCTGCGAAAACGATTACCTCAAGATCTTTTACAACCATCGCGAGGCATTGATACGGAAGAAGAGCGGATCGTCGCCTCATCTTGAAGTTCCTGTGTCCCAGAACCAATTGCAGGCCGCTGAAGGAATTGTTGGCTCTCCCCGCCGGCTCTACCTCCAGCAAGCTGCAACGACTACTCTGCGCGAGGAGGAGACGGCAGCAATGGCTTCGGTTGCCTGGTCGGCGATGCGACAGCCACTCCCTTTGCTCCTGCAGACCTTCCAGGGGATGACCACCAAGAACGAGGACTTTTGGTTCAGGGCATGCCCCTATTTTGATCGAGTCTGCTATGCTGCGGGTACCGTCCTCTTCCAAGAGGGCGACTTACCTGAAGGATTTTACCTCCTCGAGTCGGGGATGCTCCGAGCCGAATATGAGCTACCTCAAGGCCGTTACTTCGAACTGATCGTCGCGGGACGGCCGTGTGGCGAGCTGCCGTTCTTCAGCGAAACCCGACGGACTGCGACGGTCAAGGCGGAACAGGACTGCGTGGCCTGGTGTCTGAATGCCGACAAATGGAAGCAGTTGAAGGAGGCAGAGCCCGAGATCGCGCAGGAATTGTTGACGGTGAGCTTGAAATTGACGAGTGAGAGAATGGACAGCATCACATCGTAAGTACCTGCCTTCCAACTTAGCCTGCGGACAATAGCTGACGGGGTATGTTTAGGTATGTTTTGACGATGGCAGCTTGATCACTATACGTTTTTTGACATAGGTGTTATTGGATGAAGCAATTGGGCGTTGCATATCTCGCATTGGCGGTCATCTGAGTCTTTGAATACTCGCATTAGCTTATTTCATATATAATGCATTTCTTGGCTCTGTAGATAATGTGATTTCTTTTTGAAGACTGAGCTCCAAAGCCCATAGAGGTGTATTGCCATGCAGGACTAGACTAGACGGACGCATGCTTGACGCCTTTGATACCGTCGTTGCCGTCATTTCCTGTATTCTGATGCAAGATGATGCGATGCATGGCAAGATCGCATGACTTGAGGGGTAGGTCCTACGTATGTAGGCAGTCGTCTGCTACGCATTGATTGCTGCACCTTATAACCTATGACAGTGTAGCACTGGTGTCTACATATATTCAGACGTACGGAGCTCCTACGCTTTAGAATAGATACGCGGAGTCGGTGACAAATGGTCAAAAGCTGCTTCAGGACAAGCAGCGATCATCAGATGTGCAGGATCGACATTGAACAGTAGTGGCATGATTGGCTCGTTGCCTGGTCGGAGATTGTGACTGGTAGATAGCTGGTAGCTGGTGACTATGTTAGCGACAA